CTACCGCTTCCGCTTTCCCTTCCCTTCGTCCTATCTCCCCCTACCCACTCATCCCACTCTCACTCTTCCCCTCCCTCTCAACCCTTCTCTCCTCAACTCTCCTCTTCGTCCTCCTCGCTACGTCCTCCCCCCCCCTCATCCTCATCCCTCTTCCTCTTCCTCTCACCCTTCTCCTCGGTCACCTCCTACTTCGTCCTCCTCCTACCACCCTTTCCCTCCCACTTCCGTCCCTATCTCCCCCACTACCTCCCCCCACTCATCCCTCTTTCTCCTTCCCTCATCCTCTCACCCTTCTCTCCTCATCTCTTCCTCTCTCCTCCTCACTCCTCCCCCCCCTCATCCTCTCCTCTTCCTCTCTCCCTTCACCCTTCTCCCCTCACTCTCCCTTCGTCCTCCTCCTCACCTCTTCCCTTTCCTCCTTCGTCCTATCTCCCCCATACCCGCCGCACTCATCCTCTCCCCTACCTCCCCTCCACACTCTCACCTTCTCTCCTCACTCTCCTCTTTCGTCCTCCTCCTACTCCTCCCCCCCCCTCGTCCTATCTCCCCCCCTCATCCTCTCCCTCTTCCTCTCCCTCTCACCCTTCTCTCCTCACTCTCCTCTTCGTCCTACTCCTCCTTTCCACTCCTTCGACCTATCTTCCTCCTCCTCTCTGTCTCTTCTCTCTTCTCTCCTTCCCTTCGTCTTCCCCCTTTCCTCTCTCCTTCGTCCTCCATCTCCTCCTCTTCTCCCCCTTCGTCCTCCGTCCTTCATCTTATGCCTTCTCTTCCCCTTTCCTCCTTCTCCTCCCTCTCCTTCTTCCCCTCCCATCTCTCCCTTCGTCGTCCTCCTCCTCTCCTCTCTCCTTCGTCCCCCCTCCTTCCCTTCATCCTCTCGTTCTCCGTTCTCNCTCTCTCTCTCTCTCTCTCTCTCTCTCTCTCCTCTCTCTTTCTCTCCTCTCTCTTTCTCTCCGTAAATAACAAGTCCGGCTGGCCAGACTCTCTCTCACAGATCACAAGGAAAATGACATTTCTTGGGCTTGCAACTTGCAATGCGATAGACATCTGGCAAGTCACGACAAATGGAATTGCAAGCGAGAAAATAGTTTTAAATTGCTTGACAGTGAGCGATAGAAAGCGGAAATGAGTGAGTATCTCCTCTTGTTTGCGATCTTTAGTTTGTCTCTTATTTTTGTTTGTTGGTTTTTGTGTTCTTTGTCAGTCTAAAGGAGGCGAAATTGGCGTTTTCTCGTTTGTTGGGTTTCATCTTTATTTTCCTCTTATTCTTCCTTCTCCTATTCTTAGTTTTCTCCTTCTTCTTCTTATTTTCTACCTTCTCCTTTTCTTAGCTTTCTTCTTCTCCTTCTTCTTTCCCGTCCTCTTCTTAGTCTTCTTGTTTATCTTTATTTCAAGCCTCTTCTTCCTCTTCTCCTTCTTCTTCTTCCTCATCCTCTTCCTCTTCCTCTTAGTCTTTTCCTTATTCTTATTCTTCTTTCTTTGTCTTACCTTATACGGCGTCTTCGATCTCTTCAGTCTTCTACTTCACTCTTCTGTTTTACTCTATTTCTTCTATCAAAATTTTTTCCTTTTTTGTCACTTTACCGTTTAACTCTTATTCATTTTCAGTTCTTTTTATCACTTTTATCTTATTTTCCCCCATCTCCTCCGCTTGAAAATATTAATGGTAATGAAGATAATTATTTTTAGTAATGATGATGAGAATGATAGTAATACTGATAACAAAAATGACAATAAGAATAGGCATAGTAGTAATGATAATAATGATAATGATAAAGACGAGGTTAAAGATAATGATGAAAAGAACAAGAAAAACAATGGTAATGATAATGATGATAAAAAACACACACACACACATTGATATATAAATAATCACACGCTTATACACACACACACACATTAACGTACAGACACACACACACACATTAACGTACAGACACACACACACACATTAACGTACAGACACACATACACACATTAACGTACATACACACATACACACATTAACGTACACACACACACACACACACACACACACGCACATACACACATACACAAAGAAGACACAAAAAAAAAAAAAAAAAAAAAAAAAAAAAAAAAAAAAAAAAAAAAAAAAAAAAAAAAAAAAAAAAAACAGAAAGAAAAATAATAATCAAAGAAAAAAAAAACAACACGGATAAAAAGAAGAGAGACATAATATAAACACAGGAACCCAAATTCCCTGTTGCAAATTGCAGGCGGTGAATGTAGCGTCTCAGAAAAAAACGGAAGGAGAACACAAGGAGTAAAGACGTTTCAATTCCCATTCCCATTCTCTGTCTTCGAGAAATTGCCGATTTGCATGTGCTTAGTGAAAGATGGAAGATGAG